CTGTTTTATCATTCACCCAGGAGAACAAATAAACGTGCAGGCATCCACTTTGCCTAAAATCCATGGAGAAAGTTTGAAAATTCACCCTTTTCTCTGACCTGCAGGTACAGCATCACTTCATTACTTCAAACATCATAAGAATTCATCATGCTTTCAACAAACACATGCTATAAATCAAATACGACAGCTGTAGATTGACCGGACTTTGTACTTGACTTGCCTCTTTTGGGTGAAGGTTTTATTTGAGAGGCTTTTACCCTTTACAGTTCAGAGAACACGCCTAATAATTTCTTTTGTCGTGCTCCCTGTGAGTCACTGTGATGCCGGAATTAGTTTTCAAAACTCTTTTCAGGTGTGAAAGAACACAAAGCTAATAGAGGCAGTACAGGGACCTCCATCTGCACTTGAGCCTTTAGAGTGTAGTACAGTTTTCTTCAAGATGTCAACATCAGAAAAGTAATTAAGAGGAGAACTGAGTGGACTAAAACCCTGTTACATAATTTGTGGCTGGTGATGTTCTTCAGTGTTTCAGAAGTTATAAACCATGACGCTGACAAAATTCAATCCAAGTCTCATGGTTTTCGAAACTAAAATAAATGACTTTTTATATTGAGTCATTGAGTCATGAGTTTTGAGTGGCTTCTGATGCTGCTCCCTGAGGTGTTTTATCATTTTTGAATCATTATAAAGCAAATGATACTGAACATCTATTACCAGATGCAGCTGAAACAGCTGTGGTCAAAAGAAACAATAGGAAAAAATAAAACCAACATTTGACACTGCAGGGTGTCTTACTGAAACTGCTCTGATGAAATTATATGTATTGCAAAGTTAGTTAAGTGCCACAGAAGGTTTTTATTTACTCAACAAAGTTAAAGATGTATCTAATAAGATGTTTCACAGTTTTAAATTATTATTTACAGAGAGTACAATGCAAATGTTTACTGCACTTACTGTGAGGAACACAGAGAAATAATGGTGCATTTATTTTGGAATTACCAGCATACAACAGTACTGTGAAGTAAATTTTCATGGGTTATTGCCAATCATGCCCACAATGCTCATTACAAGAGAAAAGATTTTGTTTGATCTCATTGATCACAGCAGGAATTCTTCAATTAAACCTATTTTGAATAAATTCTGTTTTCGCAAATAATAGTTTCCAAGTAGAACTTTCCTGTAACTGTTTTCAATCTTAAGTTTCATTTAATTTAACTGAATACATTTTTAAAAGATTTTAAACTTAGTATCTGCACGCACTATTTGCATATAAAACTGACTTGAATCTTGGCTACTTATTACATATAGTTATTAGACACTTATTGTTTTCTTTTATAAAATTTAGAGATGTCCCGAGCTTATTTTAAGGATCGTTGTTGAGGGCCAATCGGGCCATATTTTCATAGATAAAATAAGCAAAGTTCTCTTTGAGCTCTGAGAACTGTGTTTGGCATCTGTGATCATGTATTATTTGATTGACTGAACGAGTTATGAAAATAATTGATGAATTGATTATGAAAATACCTGCAGCCATACTTGCTAGAGAATAAATGGTATAAATTAAACCTAAAAATAAACGCTGGCTGAAAGAAACAGGCCTTCACATAATTTGGTTAAATACTGTGTCTGTCCACCGACTACCAAAAATAGTAGTAAGTAAAAACAAGGAGTTGAACATAAAAACCTAATAACAATTAAACTTTTAACTCTACAGTAGCACAAAATAAAATAATTAAATGTGGACTATTAAACATCAGGTCTCTGTCTTCCAAAGCTGTTCTAGTGAATGAATTAATATCAGATTATGATATTGATTTACTTTGTCTTACTGAGACCTGCCATGAAGAATATGTTAGCTTAAATGAAATTAAAACAAAGGAGGCAAGCAACGTGGTATAATCAGCAAACCCACCAATTAAAGCCAAAGGCGTGGAAATTTGAAAGGAAATGGCATTCTACCAAGCTGGTAGAATCTTGTTCAATCGGGCAAGACAGTCTGAAAACAGAAAAAAAGGTGAGTGCTGAACCATCCCTTAGTTATGCTGCTATAGGTCTAGACTGCTGGGGGATTTCCCATGATGCACTGAGTCTCTCTCTCTCTCTCTCTCTCTCTCTCTCTCTCTCTCTCTCTCTCTCTCTCTCTCTGCACACATTCATGTCCCATTAATGCATGTTACTAACTTTACTTCTGCCTCAGAGTTTTTGTGCTTTCTCGTCTTGCAGGTTTTCATGGATTCTGGTGGAGCCTGCTGCCATGGTCCTGCTTGACCTCCACTGCTAATATTGCTATTATTATCATTCATTCATCATGCCCCATTGTTGTGGCTGCTATTATTGTCGGTGTCAGTCATTTCTACTAATATAGTTGTTGCAATTGTTGTTGCTGTGCACCTTTATCTCTGTCTGTCCTTCTCTCTTTACCACCTATCCATCCCCTCTACCCCTCTAGTCCCCCAAACCCCCCATCTCTCTAACCCCAACTGATCAAGGCAGAGAGCCACCCACCTAGATCCGGGGTCTGTCCGAGGTATCTGCCTCTTAAAAGGAAGTGCTTGCTCATGGTGGGAACTGTTGACTGAAAAATTTAACTATACATGTTTTTCTAAAAAAATCCCTTGTCTCCTCTAAAACACTCACATACAGGAAACGTTACCTTGGAAGTCAAACCTTCCTCCTCGACAAGATCAACTGCACTTCTATCTCTTCTAGGATTCTTTCCATCTATCACAGGAAAAAGGTAGAGTTTCTTTTAGGATCTTTTTCAGTCCCATGGTGATGCTGTTTGTAGAGCGGGTGTGCTCCTGGCATGCCGCTGGCAAGCTGAGAAGTTAACACCAAGTCACCGTTCCCATCGTCACCATGTGTCTATTAATGCACTCCGCTCTACTTGAGTTCATCAGAATTTGTTCACATTTCAGCTAACAAAATCTGCTCGACTTCAGCTGAGTTGGCTCCATGAATACAGCACTGATGTACCGTCAACCCAGCAGCAGTGATGATTGTGCTTGTGCCAAGGTAATCTCTCATCTCTCTGCCACTTCAAAGCTGCAGTGCAGGTCAGAATTTCAAGCCGTGAACCTTGGTGCTCAGGCATGGCTTCTAATGCATGATGAAATAAAAAGATAGAAATGACCCATAGAAAAGGAAAAGTAGCAACTGCTCTGAGAGAGCCTGAAGCCATGTGGGTTGAATGAAGGGTAAAGTCCATTGACCCTAACATGAACCATCTATCAGCCACTCTCCTCTACAGCAGGTGGAGCTCAAAAGATGGACTCAAGAGAAGGTTGAGAAAACTGTAATAGCCACGGCCTAATTCCCAACTAAATTAATGAGTTTGTGAGGTTCTCCTTTATAGCAAGTTTTTGCGGCATTTCGCTTGAGTTGACAGGGCTGTAGAGAGACAGAATAGGCCGTATAGAGAGTGGGTGACATGCAACGAAGAAGCTGGACTTGAACCTGTGCCACTGCAGTAAGGACTCAGCCTTAAAACATGGTATTTGCTCTACCCGGGGTACCCCTCACTAACCTTAACCAAAAAACAAAACAATCGGTCCACCACTTTGGTCCAGACTGAAATGTCTCAATAACTATAGGATGGATTGAGATCCAATTTGGTCAAATATTTTATGGATCAAATTATTAATAGAGAAAAAAGTAATTTGATTAAATTCTAATCAGAATAAAATCATTACAAGTAATATATTTAAAAGCAGAACATTCGTCAGTTCCAGCTTCTCATATGTGAGGATTTGCTGCTTTTCTCTGTTTTATATCATTGCAAATTTATTTAGGTTTTGCACTGTTGGTCCAATTTGAAGCAACAGAAGGTTTTTGTTTTTGTTTTCTAGCACACAGTAATGACGGCAACTCAGACCAGTGGCATAGTCAGCATCTTAAACCCCTAAACCATCAGGATGCTCTATTAATGGCCAAAACTGAAAGTTGCCGAACTGCTTTACAATCTACTTTTAAAATTGTATTTTTACCTACTTTCTTCTGTTCTTTTTATAAGTAGTCCCAGTTTTTATACTGGATGGGTTGGGTGGATGGAGACAGATTTACTTAAACAATCTCTTGGTGAGACTGCAATTCAGTGAGCTCTATCTAAAAGTAGCAAAAGCTGACAGCGAGGTTACTTTTAGCAAAGTGCACTGTGTGCAGCCAGCTGCTGCCTGCGGCCATTCATCATCAGATTTCTGCACATTTGCACCCTTCAGTCCTCACAACTCCCGTCTACATCTCTTTGTTCAGTTTCATACTGAACTTTTAAACCCTCTGTGATGTTGTTTGAGGTGTGGTAAACAGGATATAAGCTGCAGCAGCCATCAAAGCTTTGTTCCGAACCAGATATAATACTGCTCAAAAACTAAAATTCTCCCTGCTTTTCAGGCATTATACCAATACCAGTGTTTCATCTGAAATTAAATGAATTATGGTCATCGTGATAGGTATCTATTAACTATTAAAATGAGACACCTCAGGAGTTATACATTCATTATGAATTAGACAAATGTAATTTGATCATTTAAATTCAAGATAGTTTTCTTTTTACTTGCTGCAGGCTATACTTTATATTAATATAGTTTAAAAATAATGAATACAGGAGTTTATTGTTTATTATTAATATTAGAGAGAATGACGGGCTCAATGAATGGTTCATTGATTTTTTTGAATTCATTTAATTCAAATTTAATTTATTTGTAGGGCCTATATTTCAGACAGAATTTAGTTGCTATAATGTGCGCGCGTGTGTGTGTGTGTGTGTGTGTGTGTGTGTGTGTGTGTGTGTGTGTGTGTGTGTGTGTGTGTGTGTGCTTGCAGTGGGCGTTAATTCTGATTGTGTTTACAATCAAATACAGTGGAATCTGCGCCCGGCGACCATCTGTGACCTGCCTTCTCACTATCAGCGTCACATTAGACTTTATTTATTTATTTTTAAATAGGAGACTCTTGACATTTCAGAGACAGCAGCTGGACGAGATCAGGGGGGTATCACTCAACCATTAGCCCGCTCATCCAGCTCTCAGCCCCACCCCCTTCACTCCCGACGTCACCGCATCAAATACGGACGGTTCCGGCTGTAAATCCTCCACTTGCGCTCCGAGAGGCTGGCTGAGCGCATCCTGTGCCACATGAAGCGCTTCCCAGCGACGCACATGAAACCGGACTGATACTGAACGCTGCAGGGGGGGGGACGGAGTTTGAATCTATTTTTATTCCACGGTGGTCTGCCAATTGTTTTTCTCTCTGATGTACGTAGGTCTAGTCAGAGGAAAGTGGACATTTTTTACTTTTTTTCCCCCTCAAAGCACACAGCCCATCGCCAGCTTGATTTGAAATAAAACAAGGTAAGACAAGTTTATTAGCGTTATTTTACCGTCTAAACAGTACGAATTAAGAAACGCCAGGTGCCACAGGTATGGCTACAGGTGGACACTTGTCAATGAAATTCATAAAAAAAATATATATATATGTATATATATTTTGAGTTCTTTAACCTCGGACTCACTGCAGCCAAAGCTCTAAGGGCTCGTTTTAGGCAATGAAGGCGCAGAGCTTTCAGGTCAGTAACTCAAGTGTCTCGCTCCTGTCCGATTCTCCATCCTGCTCTCTGTACAGACAGTTTCTATGGCTTTGATGCGCCAGTCGTCATTTGGACACAGAAACCTCTTTGTCCAGAAGTGGTCAGTCATGCATGTTATTGCGCGCAGTCAGTCCTTAAGTTTGCACCCTGATCACAATCCCAATCTCTGCCATGCGCGCAATGTTGGCACAAAATGTATTCTCTGGTCTATACATTGATCAACCGGTGAATGAAAAGCGCAATCCCTTCAGTGGTGCTGAGGGGAAATCAGTGGCATTACAGTACATCAGGGCTGGTGTTGGGGGGGGCGCGTCCGGTGGTATGATGAACAGCAGTACAGTTAAAAAAAAATACTGAAGTACTCATCTTCATGTCAGAGGTCTTGTTTCACTGCATGCAATGAGCCTCTAAACATCCGCTGGCATCCCCTCACCATGGCCATTAAGTACCATGGAGGTTGTTAGAGGGGGACATGCACATTTCAAATTGAGGACAAACAAGCATGCTCAGTGTAGCCTTGAAAGACACAAACATACATACTGTGATCACAGTACTCATTTTCTGACACACAGTTTAGGAAAGTGACAGAACAAAGAAAGGAAGTGGAATTAAAATATGATTAAGATTGTAGAGGGCTGGTGAACATGCTGATTCTGGGATTTTCTTGCTGTCTTCTCTCTTTTTTTTTGGGTGAGCTCATAAGTTTATCTGAAGATGAATTTGCTGGCAGGTGATGGATTATTTATGTTAATTGGTGGTGGGGGACAGTTACAATTATTTCTGAGATATGTGAACAGTGATAACCATTGCTATACTCAATCGTGTTTTGTCATCTTTGGGACATCTGGACAGTGTTAGCTTTAAGCCCCGTCAAAGCTATTCTGTGAGACTGAAGTAGTGCAATAACATCAGGGAAACTCGACATGATGAAAAGCTTGTAGTTGTCAGAGGGAGTTTGATGAATTTGAGTTATTAAGTGTCTCCAGAGAATGTTATTCTCTTAGGGTGGAAAAAGCCTCTGAGACCTTTATACCATAGACCTTTCACTGGATACTAATGATTTCCATTAAAGCCCTGGAATGACTCATGTTAACTGCCCTTTTACAATACAAATATTTTACTAAATAACAGGGAGACTGACATTCTCAAGAGAGCAAGAACTATCTTAACACACAACAATGATTCCTCTCTGGTCAAACAATTGTAATAAAAATTCCCAAGCTGTGGATGAAAGGGGATCTTCTATCATATCAGCAGTAGACTCACTGAGCAAATCACTGAATCTTATGAATAAAAAAATGGATACGGAGAAAGACTCAATTTCTTTGTCATTAGCATTTAAGGCATTGCAATCAACAAATTGCAGATTTTGTGATCAACATTAGCAAGATTGTGTTTTATAGTAAGATTTAAATTGATTAATCTTATTGTAGGTCTGTACATTAATACAGAAACAGACTTGAGATGCCTCATACATACTAAAGACTACTTACTAGTGGTTTATATCCAATACAGCTCAAGCATCCATAGGCACACTAACTCTAGTAGAATTGACTCATTTAAACCCCGTAGGGACATAGAAGTATAGCAAATCCTTTTCAGTTTTAGAGAGTATAAGCCATTGTAAGGACAGATTAAGTATTAAATCATCACATTTTGATGCTTAATCAGGAAAATGTTATCTGAAACCATCTGTCACCCCAGGTTCAAGACCAGATCTGAGATATCAGATTACGGCCAAAAATTAAGAGAAATTGGTAAAATGAGGTTGAGTCCCACAATGTGTCACTCATCACCTCCTAAACAATCTGATCCAGAGGAATACTGTGGACCTACCATGTCCTTGGTGTATGCAAAAATAAATTTTAGAAGTGGCATTTGTCTTCCATTTAGTGTCTGAAATGACTGCAAAAAAATTAAAACAAAAAGGCAAAAAGCATCACGCAAGTCTGTGGAGACATTGTTGAACATGTACAAATTTAAAATCCTTGTTCGTGAGGCCCTCCGATAATGTCCTTGATATTAGATTTTTTTATACTGTGTCCATTTTGTAGATCTTATAGTGCTGCCTGTTACCCACACGTGCAGAGTGTCCAGACTGTGGGAAAGCAAGAGCAAAAAAGGACTTTGATTGAAATCTCAGAAAGTGCATTACTTTAGCCATAATTAGGTCTACCTTTATCTCAATTCTCAGATACACAGCATCACACTTAAAGACCATAAGGACACATCTACGTCTCTAAATAAGTCATTACAACTGCAAAGTTGGATGCACATTTAACAGCTTTCAAAGTCTATATGTCCCTTAGCAACACAAGCCCTCTTTTTGCCCAGTCATATTTTATTCACACTTATTTTTTATTCAGCTCATTCACACAGAGAGAGCATCAGTAAGCCTGTGACATGATTTTACCAACTGTGAGGTTTATTGTTGTCAGTGATGTAGAACCAAACTCCAAAAAATGGCTAGCCCTTGGAGGCATTTCTATCAGCATTAGTCATAAAGGAGGGATTGTTAAACGCTCAGAGAGGTGACAGAGCTAATGAAGGAAATTTGAAGGTGGAAACATCAGTAAAGCCTAGAAGGTCAGCCTGACAGGTAATAAATACATTTTGTTCTGTCTAAATGTTGCTATTGCCCCCAAGCATGGCCACATTAGTAACATCCAAGCATGATTACACGTAGTTATAATCAGACATAATGAGCAAGATTCATTATCGCAACAGCTATAGTTGATGCAAATCCACTCTATAATTTCACAGGTAGATACTGTCCCTGCTGTTGACTTGAAAAAGCCACCTGTGCACCGCAGAAGCAGCTGTTGCCGTGCATTGCATCGTTTCAATAGTAATTTTCTTCTTTCGCTGGATCTGTTTGTTTTTAGTAAGATTACAATGGAGTAGGCCAGCCAGTTCAGAGGAGTGAGGGGTCAGTAGTCGGTATAAAACAGAGCAGTCCATGCAATAGGTTTTTTAAGATTTTTCAAAAACTGTGAATCATCATAACCACAAGAGTTCCTTGAGCATATGAACATGGATATGCACAAAAAATATTAGGCTGATGATAGTAGTATGAGCGATTAGTTGTTAACAGATTCGCATGCACGCCCAAACACACACACACACACACACACACACACACACACACACACACACACATTATGAAACACATTATCTAATTCAGGCTTACGCCTTGCAGAGATAATGAGCAGAATAAAAAAGTAAAGTAGCAATTAAACACTGGTGCCATAGGTTTGAGAATTCTCAGCTGCCCTGCAGATATCCATGTTGTCCAGAAGAATTGTCTTAACATTACTATTAAAAATGTAATTTAATATTATATGTAATGTTTGCAGTAGTCATATAATGTGGTAAAATTAAATAAAATTAAGGCAGTAGTGTTCTAGGCAGAACAGCAGGGGCCGCCCAATTCTGCACACATCCTGACCTCAGCCCCAGATGGTCTGGGCTTAGCCCCGACTTCTAGAAATGCCTCTGATCCATGTCAGTGTTTCAACTAAAGCTGAAACAACAGCTTCTAAGGAATTGCTGATTTCTTAAATCTTATGTGATCATAAACTGAACAACTTTGGACAAAACAAGCAACTTGAAGTCCTCGTCTCAGGCTTTGGGAAATTGAGACAGGCAAATGTATCTGTTTTCAGATATTCTGTAGAACAACTGATTAATAAATTGATCAAAAGAATGAGGGCTAGTAGCTGGTAACAGTAAACATGAGGTTTTGGTCATAAACCATCACAATCAAAGAGCAAGGATATTTGACATTGACATTCACTAATCAAACAGCATTAGTTGACTCTTGTTTGTCGACAAACAGGAGGAAATGAAAATGCATCACAGCCATCCAGTTGGTAAGGCTCCGTTGTTGACAGCAAACAAGTGAAGTTCCTTCTCTGAGGGCTGTGGAAATTTAGAACACTTCAGTCGAAATTGAAGGGGGCATAAGGGCTAAGTAGGGATACCAATAGCACTAAATGAAAGACAGTAACCTCTGAAATGCTCACAGTATTATGCTAGAGCAGAATGAGCAACGCTTCATCTAAATCATTCTTTTTTTATTGTTATACAATTAATTAAAATTAATTAGGTTCATAAATATAGTTCAAAGGTTTAACTTTTTTTTACTTTCCAGCCTTGGTTCTGTTAGTTCCTCTTCTCATGAAGGCAGCCACTGTAGTCTGACAGACTGTCTCAAAGTTTTGTTTTTCTGGTTCAGGAAATCTTTTTGTTAACCTTTAGTTGAAAAATTCCCGTAGATTTAGTCAAAGAATAAAATGAAAAAAACAACAACTATGTTTTAAAACATTTCATAAAAGTTCTTCTTATGCCTTCAATATTATGCCTTTCCCATTGTTTGAAATAGCATGAAGTCATCTGCTCTTTCATTTTTCAGGTTTAAAATGAACGAAGGACTTGAAAACAACTTGACTCAACTGTATGACAACTGGACATTTTACAACTCCTCCGTGGAGTCCATCCCACCCAGGAACAACATCACCTATGTTGGATTTTACCTGCATCAGCCGTCCACAGCAGCCATCTTCATCGTGTCCTATCTGCTGATCTTCCTCGTGTGCATGGTGGGAAACGGAGTGGTGTGTTTCATTGTGCTGAGGAGCAAAAACATGCGGACTGTCACCAATTTGTTCATCCTAAACCTTGCTGTGAGTGACCTCCTGGTTGGGATTTTCTGCATGCCCACAACTCTTCTTGACAACATAATTACAGGTGAGCAAGACGGTAATTAAAAGCTTTCAATGCCTTGTTTCATGTCAAAATAAGCCAATCTGGCTAGAAAGACCCTTCCCCTTCCCCTTCCCCTTCCTCTTCCATCTGACAATTGTGGTTCTGAGGGAAATGTCTCAGCAACTGCTACTGTATAGTTTACCATGAAATACGGGTAAAGTCAGTCCACTGCAGGATTAACTGTAACAACTTTATTGATACCCTGACTTTTGATTTTGCACCACCAACAGCAAAAAAATTAAACACTTCCGTTTATGATGATATTGCATAACCTAATTACCTGATCGCTGTCAGCCTCAGTTACAAATTAAACAAACATCTGGAATTAGCAAATATTATGTGCCAAACATCAGCAAGTAATGAGGATCTGTATCAGAACCTAATCTCAATCCTCTGGTGATGCAAATAGATTAATTGGCTTGAATGTCTTCTGATGCAAGAACTGTACACATTACTGTACACATGTAAACACTATAGCATTCCTGTAGAACTGAGCCTTACATATCCTCAAATGAACACCATACAGAGAATAAACCATTTTAATTTTTCTCTCAAGCAACAGCTTCACAGGTCTGCTAGCCTTGTTAATCATTTAACTAACCCTAACCTTTAACACTAATCATTGATATAATTTCATTCATTGCAGGGCTGGCTTTGCTTTTCCAATTTAAAATCGCATTAATATGGACTACTAAGGTGTACGTGCATGGAGGCCATCCCACGCAGCATGAACCTACTTATGATCATAGAATGACCTATTGTTTTTTGCGGCTATCAAAAGTAAAGAAGGCTCAGAGGAGATGACTTTTTTGATTCGTCATGGAGGAGACAGTCTTCCCTGCATGAATAAATAAGACCAGGGCTTTTTACACATTGTGCCGATTGGACCTGACAGTTGACTCTCCATGACACAAATCTCACATGAGCAATTCTTAAGGCAAGTGATAGTGGTTGGGAGTTCAGACTCTTCACACAGGCTGTCTACAGCTGCAGTGCTTTCTTGAAGACAACTTTTTTTGCTTTAACTTATAATTTTAAAGTCAATTTTGCATTCAGAGTGTAGCTGCCATAGAATGACAGCACCATCCGCGCTAACACTGGTTCCTTATAACCCTTGTTTTCACTAAGGAAAAGGTAAAGTGATCCAGTCCAGGGATCAGCAACTAGGGATGTCCCAATCCGATCTCAATGATCAGTATCGGTGCCAATCAATGCATTCTTTAACTGATTGGTATCGGCTATAATGAGCTTCATTGATCCGATCCGATCTTTTGTTCTAGTCAGCTGTCACACAGCTGTTTTTACTCAAAGCTTCTGCACTGTGCAACTATTGTCAACTTTCACTGTTTCTTTTCCTCCACTCCTGTGAGAGCAGGAGCAGCGCCCACGGTGACACTCGCGGGTGGGGCTGCCTGGGCTTGGAGGAGAGAGCAGTAGAGAGCAGACACAACCACACTCAACACAACAAAAATGTATTGACATGCATCAGGCTTTTTTGGAAATAAATTTGATTTGGACCTAACCCAATGTGGAGAGTCAGCTTAAAAATAATTTTAAAAATGTTTTTTCTTGTCTCTGCATGTCTCTTGTTAAATATAAAAAAAATAAGAAGCCAAATGGAAGACAAAAGCATTGCAGTGACTGGGAATACTACATTGCCTTATTCACCTTTAGAGATTATTCTAGAGTGGTTACTATGATTTAATAATAATTGCCTCTTCAGAGCAGCAAAACAAGTGTAATCAGTCATTATTGTCTGAATCAGGGATATGTTAGACCCTGACATGGAGTTTGGGGAAATCCAGCTGGCAGAGTGCTTTGTATGATTAAATCTCTGCTGCAGTGACATAACAAATGATGGGCAGCTTGCAGCTACTAGAAGTAAACAAGAATGAAAGCTTATTAGCTCTGCAATAGATTATCGTATTTAGAATCAACTTTTATAAAAATCTCTTTCTGGCAGAAAGCATCCATCCTGAGCCCTTTCAGAAGACACCAGTGACATCTGCCACACTGTGAATGGCGTTATTGCACTCTGTTTTCTTTTTGTACTGGCAAATAACAGTCAGACAAAATAACTTCTCAGTTGTGTGAAGTAGGGCTGCAGCTACAGATTATTTTAGTATTCAAATATTCTACTGATTACTCCTTTGATTAATTGTTTAATCAGAGAAATACTTTGGCTTTATTAAAGAACAATAGTAAATATACACACCACCTTCCCCCTGAAGGAAGGTGGAATCTATTTGTTTTGAAAGTATTTCCCAGTGTGTGGGGATAGTTACATTCTTAAGCCTTAAGTATAAGCTTAGGGTACAGTGTAATATTTACTGAAAAGCTGTGTGTTGCGCTTGCTGCCACAGAAGATAAATAAATAGTCCTCATGTTTGTAACATTACTACAGCATCTTGTAATATTCACAGCAGAGTTGCTGCACACTGTGAGCGATTAGCAGCTACGAGTCATGTCAAAAAGACAATTAAAATAGGCTGAACCGGAGGTCTCCGAAATAAGTTTCAGATCTGTGGAGCAGGAAGCTGTGTGCAATGATTTATTGTATTTTCTATTGTGGTGGCAGGCTAGTTCAGATTTCCAAAAACACACGTTACGGAGTATTTGTTTTATTCTGGAAATGATACCAATCTTTTGACACACTCTAATTTTCAATGTGCTGTATGGATCTATATAGTTATAGCAAGACTTTGATGCAAGGAATTTGTGAGTTACTTGAGGAATCGTTTCAGGATGCATACATGTAAAAATGCAAATGTCTCAGCTAAATGAAACCTACAGTACAGTAGAGCACCATCAAGTTTGTTCACATCTGACATTCAGCAACAGATAAGTGGGCGAGCTCTAAAATCACCACCTACTGACCACAACATTTTCTTTGGTGAAAATTAAAAATATAAAACAAACCATTTTTGGAGCCAGTAGTGGGGTTGAAATTGTGTTATTTTTTTGCTTTAGGAAAGGCCATGGTGGCATTAAAAGGGCTCGTTCCCCTGGGAAAATAAATATGCTAAGTGGATTTCACTGAGGCTGTAAGATTATGAGGTATTGTGTGTGAAAAATTGACATTGGAGGAAAACTCCCATAGTATCTGTTGATGTTAATGGTTAATCTCCTGTAGAGCATTGCTACTCTACACTTTCCCCTTGCAAAAATATATATAATACTAAGCAAGCAATAAAATTTATTTTTTTTTTTTTTTTTTTTTTTTTTTTTTTTTTTTTTTTTTTTTTTTTTATAAAATTTTTTTTTTTTTTGTTTTTTTTTTTTTTTTTTAAAAATTTTTTTTTTTTTTTTTTTTTTTTTTTTTTTTTTTTTTTTTTTTTTTTTTTTTTTTTTTTTTTTTTTTTTTTTTTTTTTTTTTTTTTTTTTTTTTTTTTTTTTTTTTTTTTTTTTTTTTTTTTTTTTTTTTTTTTTTTTTTTTTTTTTTTTTTTTTTTTTTTTTTTTTTTTTTTTTTTTTTTTTTTTTTTTTTTTTAAAAAATTTTTTTTTTTTTTTTTTTAAAAAAAAAAAATAAAAAAAAAAGAAAAATTTTTTTTTTTGGGGTGTTTTTTTTTTTTTGTTGAAAAGGGGTGTTGAAAAAAAGCCCCCTCAAAAAAAAAGAAAGGAAATGCAGTGAAAAAAGTAATCAAGCAGGCATCAGATGGAAAAGAAATATGGCACTAAATATGGTACTATTAAACTGAACATGCTTGTTTGAAAGGGCTGCTCTTCCAGCTTTGATGGCTTCTAACTCATGTTCCTATCAAGATTGATGCACTTATTGTAAGTAGCTGTATACTAAAGTGTCTGCAAAATGAATGTGTGTAATTTTTTAATGTAATGCACAGGATGAAAAGAATGGCACACAGGAAACAAACAAGAAAAAAGTCTCCATCCACTCAAAAGAAGAAATACACATTTTCAACCTTCGCAAGTGTGTATTTCTTGGTTACTTTACTTTGCACATACATCATGCTGCACAGTGAAAGTTTGATACAAAAGGATTGTTTTTTCACATTCTGCTGTGTTCATCTTCAATCTCGTTTTTAAGGTTTGCATATATGAGATGTATTGTGACATCCAAGTGTGATGTGGAAACTGGACACCTCCAGCAGATTTTTCAATGATCGAGAGAAGTAGATGTGCTTTTAAGAATTTAAAATTTTTTTTTTTTTTTTTGACGAGAAAACTAAAGGATTACGTGAAGTATGATGCATTTTTTTTATATTAAAACACGTCTTGAGGAGATCTTTTAAAAGGGTTTCACTAAATTAATATTTTCTGCAGTCTATTGTAAGGCATTTTGTTTGTCAGTGTATCCACCCAAGTATGTTACGTGACATATCCTAGTGGAGAGGCAGACATTAGAAGGGGGGGGAGAGCACCATCGGCTATTCCAGTTGACTACTTTCATACCCGTTGAATGTCACTCACATTTTTCCAACAGCTGACCAAACTGAGCAATGAGGGAAGAAGAACCTTCCTCAGGGAGGAGCCCAAGATGGCAAGGATCGTAAAGGGAAAAAAAACCCAGCAGTGCTCTTTAGCTGCAAAGGGAGGCACAGTAACAGTCAGAGTAGCACTTCTCAAATCTGAGCAGAGTGGAAGTAACAGAGAAAAAGATGCCTGGAAAAAAGGTCACGTCAAGTCAAGCTGCAGTTTGCAAAAAGGCACATGAAAGACTCACCGAGCATGAGGTGAAAGACTTGTTGGGTGTCACAGAGATGAAAACTGAAGTCACTCAACTGTAACATGAAGCAATGTGTCAATCAGAAACTGGGCAGAGCTTATCACCAGTCTGCCAGCTTCCCTACCAGGAAACTTTGTGATGACAGCCTCATGCTGTGTGGTGCTTGTCGGCAGCAGGGAGTGGGAAACTCAGACAGCCAATGACATTTGACTGGGTGATGAATGACAATTTAACATGACAGTGATGCTGTGTTTACAGTACTGGACACCTAGACACGTGTTGGTTCATTAAGTTTTTCAGACTTTAGTGCCTTCAAAAAAAAAAGAGATTAATTATTATGTGTGTCTTTCTGTCACGTTGTCTCTGGTTGCAGTTATATGAGCGTCTTGTTTGGCCTCTGGGTGCTGTGTTAAGACTGGACAACTAGCAATCTGCCATTGTCTATAACATAGCTTTCATCTAATGCACCATTCGAATGTTTACAGCGCACAATGCTTAACTGACGATGTTGGTTGGGGGGGGGGGTCATCTGCATTAATGCCTACTGGCCCTTTGCAATCTGTCAACCACATGAAAGAAACCTCACGCCGAGATGAAAGCAACAATGTAAGCCAAACATTTTCTCCACATCTAGTCAATATCCATCAATTTGCTTTTTAACAAGCTATTGTGAGTAATTGTACTGCATATAACACTGTATAACTTCTGCGGATTCACACATTACACATGTTGTATTAGTATCACATTGACCCATTTAAAACCTTTTTATGGAGAGAAATATAACAGCTGGACCAGCTGTGGGCTGCAATATAAGACATGCAGTTGGTAGGCAGCTCAAGATCCGCCAGAGCCATAGTAATTAGTATTTTCTGCCTACACTGAAGAAGATCTTTTTGTAAAGGGATCTAGGGCTGTTTAAGTGCATGTTTCAGTTTTGACAAAGGATTAAGAAGCAGACACAATACGGACAAAAGGAAAAAGGAACTGTAGGTTCCTTGCAAAATAAAAAAAAGAAGTGAAAGCATAAACAATAAAAGGAAAAAAATTGCCAACATTTATTTTAGTTAAGTTCATTGTTACTTTCAACATCCTATTATTTAGTATTTAAAGATTATAATTGTTTGTTACACTCCCCCCTTTTTGCAAGGCTTCCTGTGACAAACTCACTGAGCTGCACTCTTTGCTGTGTTGGTCACAGAGCTAATGAGTTGAGCTTGATACCAACACATAACATAATTTAAATAATTTATAAACAAGAAGTGTGTAAAATCATCCTGAAGAAATGCCAACACAGAGTTTAAATGTACTGTAGCCTGTCACTGTTTCGCTTGAGAGAATGTTTGTAACTTTGTGTAGAAGCCATTGTTGACTTTTGGGTTTTGTTTTTTGTTATCAGCTCTAGCTTTTCCAACCTTTGTACACAAATATGGCAATAAAAAAAAATTAAAAAATAATGTGAAATTGCATATTTTGTATTTAAAAATGTAACATTTTCCTGGGGAAAGACCCCCAAAACCCCCAACAAATATTTGCAGCTACGTCTTACACAAACCTAAGCAGAACACTGAAATCTTAAGCTATTCTGTTGACCATGAAAAAGGGCCTGTGTTGCATGCTCAACAGCGCATACAAAAGCACCGTTGCTGCTAAAATTCTAGTGAAAACACTACCCAGTCAACCTTTATCATAAAATTGTATGACAATTATGCTCAAGTATGTGTTACAAAGGCCGAGGTTGTACTGATGACAGTCTGCAGGCAGCCACAAAACGACACCTACATTGTCAGCACCTCTACTACAAGTCACCAGCTTGCCTGATTAACGCTAAGGACTGTTCCCCTGTCATATCTAAAGATATGATATTATGGCAAATCCCTTCAGCTCTTCCTGTACACTGATGTGTTTGTGGGTGTGAATCTGTTTGAGGAAGACTGCATTCATACATGAACCGCTGTTTTGTCTGAACTGTCTTAGTTGTCTTAGCACTAAATAAGCTGAATGCATCTTTCCTGTCAACAGGATGGCCTTTTGGAAGCCTGGTCTGCAAAATGAGCGGCATGGTCCAAGGGATCTCTGTGTCAGCATCCGTCTTTACTCTGGTCGCGATTGCTGTTGACAGGTATAGTGATTGTATTTTACTACTACTGCTACATACAGTATAACAGTACATTTCCTTTTTCCAGCACCTGTTACTCTTGAATTGCACCTCAAAAAAGTGTTTTGTGTGAAAAACCAGCAACCGATCAGAGAGCACAACCTTACAAAAGGATGCAATGTTGCATTAATTTGTGTGATAACATTTTCTAAACTCCACATATGGTTAAAAGCTCCAGAAAAAGCTAGAAGGTGATTTGGTATTCTTTTGTTACCTCACTGAAGTGACAAGCCAACGTTACTGTAAGGCAGTTACATTTTACTGAGTCAGTTAACAGCTTTTATCCACATTTTCCCATCCATGTTGTCAAATCTAAAATGTTTCCTAAAGTAAATTTGATGTCATAATTATTATTCTCAAATTTGCATTAGTAAAGGGAACAAGGACCCAATGCAGTCCTTGTAAGGGAATCTCGAATTTTAATCAAAAATAGTTCATTAATTGTTACCAAGCTAGTGAGTGAAGCTCCCTGCTCAACATACAATACAAAACCATTTATGTTTAGAATTTTTAAGTCTAGATTCTCCAGATCTGCATCAAAATAGATATTTTGCAAGTCTCACAATGTTAAGAAATCTTGAGAACAAACCACCAAAATTAAGTCACATATTTGGCCTTTTTGCCTTTACATTTCCCCCACATAGCAAGAAAGACAAATTAGCACAATTGTACAGCTTTGTCATCTTTATCTGGTGCTTGTTCTCTTTTGAACGATCATGATGGATTGCCCAATTCCTGTTCACTGAGAAGTCAACAGTTGGATGTTAATCCTGCTTAGTCGCTCCATAAACCTTTGGAGATGGCTGCAGACTCTCACAGTTGGGAACAAGCTTGTCGCTGATACTAGAGCCCAGCGAATGCACGCATCCCATGCAGTTACACCAGTTCTCCAAGCAGTATAAAATGAGCTGGTATTTTATCACCACCTAGTCCTAAGACATTAGATGTGCAGTGATGTTATTCTGTCACAATCTGAAATCACTAGAGGGTGTCTGTGCCTTTGGAAAGGACAAATGGAGTTGACATTCTTCTTTGACATGCAAAAGTCAAAGTCACCTTACATATCTAAAGTATCAGACACATAATTAGGATTAAATTTGAATGGGTGGGGTCATTAATGTGATTTCACTGGTTAATCCTAAAAATTGCCTCCATTTATTAATCTCCTGTGTTTCCACAAACTATGACATCTTAGTTTTATTTACTGCTGCATGGGATATATCCGGTCCATTCAATCATTGATTGTTGGGGCTGTATTCACAATCATGCATTTTCATTTGCTTATTACAGTATTTATTGTGTTCATTTATAGTTATGGTTTTACTTGCTAATTCATTGATTGTTTTGTAGTTTATTTATTATGTGTGAAGTTAGTTAATTTTTAAAGAACTTGATTATGTTAGATATTAAAATCATTTTTCGAGCTTTTAAGCCATGAACCCTTACCAAGTCATTGTCAAATCTGGTGTATGCTTGCTAGCCTGCTAACATGCCTAATGTTACAATGTCACTGATGTAACCAAAGTTAAGTAACCTAAAGCTTTAGCATTTAAAAAGGGGTAGCCAGATACTGGTAGCTCACGACAGTTTGTTGGAAACCCCCGTTTCGTTTGATGTCTCATAATGGCCAGCAAAATCCCCCTTTCATCCATTTTCTAGTGTCAACATTAACACTAACTAAATTGAAATCGAATTCTTGGTCTGGATGTCTCTGCATGTGTTTGTTCTCTAACAATCACAAGATTCTTTCTCAGTGAAACTCGACACAATCCACCTCCTGCCTAACGTGGGAATCAACAGTTTAGTCTAAGCTGTAATGATTTCCATCCTTTTCCCCGCAATGTCTCAAACTGACTTGCTCACAAAAAAGTGCCAAATGTGCAAAACTAGATTTTAAATCAAAGGTTTGTATTTCCCCTCAGTGTCTTAACTTGTCACACACCTACAGCTGCTTCACAGTAAAATCTACCAGCTCTACCAATAATTAGACATTTGAGTTTTACAGTTGCATAGATTTTTATAGCAGTGGTATTGTCTACCTTTTGAGAGTTTGTGTCCTTCATGATGTTCCTCCCTCACCATGGTGGAATTTAACTAAGTACTTTACTCAAGCAAGCTTCTTAAATACAACTTTGAGGTACAGACTGAGGTTGCATTTTGTGATAATTTGAAAGCAAAACATACTCACATGTATCACAAATATACAGTACATTCTTGAATAAGTCATATTATATGTGAGGATGAGGATGAAGATGATTCTGGGGTCTAGCTATCCTGTCCCTGGCTACTCCTTTGTCTTTTCACACTGTTGACATCATGTCACTTCACACAAATGTGTGTTCTTCATGAGGCATTTGTAAACTACACAAAAGCTATTTTAAATTGAATTGCTTAGTCTACCACTGGTAGTTCAGCCATGACCAGCTAAAACTTAGAGATGCCGGTAGGCTAAAGTCAAGCACTTTTAAAGACCTATTTATTGCTCAGTAAATCAAAGCACTTTCGAGTACTTTCTAGACCCATGGCAACCATTTCAGATTGGTGAGAAAAGACCCTGCAGAAGAATGGCAGTAGCATCTTTGAAGGCTTCAGCAGTGGCATTTAAAAAAAACACAACAAACAAATAAAGATTGGCCAGAGGGTCACTCATGTGGTTAGTCATATATGTTTTCAGCACAGCATAGTGACAGATATAAAGAAATATGGGTCTTACTTCAAAAGGAAGGCCAAAAAGCCTATTAGCCACCCCAACAGCAGAGTCACAGCTACTAGCGGAGGTCACCAGGCTCTTACTTTAATGTGGCTGAACTGTCACAGACTGCAGGGAAACAGTGCTGTTCATTTACAAAAATGAAAATAATATGTCTATATCAGCTGATTCATGAATATCCAAATGTACAATAGAATTAGAAAGTAGTGGTGTTTAAGGAAAAACAAAATCACAGAACTTCAAAAGAGCAATCATTGAAAATCTCAAGTTTTTCATAAGCTATTCATCACCATTTGGTAAAAACAGCGTGCTACGTCTCTGTGGGCTTTAAGCACCAAGAAAACCTTTGTGCACACTTAGGCGTGCACATTATGTGCTTTTTATTAAAACAGATGGCGGTATACTTACTGATTACAATGAAGTTAATAAGGGGAGCTTAATTATGCTCCTGTTGTTTTAAAATAGATCTACACAGTGAGGAAAAGGGGAATTAAAGTAATGTCAGTGTTCGTTATTCAAAGTGAACATATTTGTAATATTAAAAAAGCCATATTATTTGTGTATTTGCTAACATTTTGTTGCTTTGCTATTACATAAACACTGATCTGCACATCTATTATTTGCATGTGCAGTCCTTTATCCATATGATTAGAACCTGGTTCTGTCCCATTAAGAATTACTATAATATTGTGTGCAATTTGAAGTATATGTTCCTTACTGTCAATTAATCTCCTGTGGACATGTATCTTCCTTTTTTTAATCCTTTTGCAGATTCAGATGCATTGTCTACCCATTCAAGCAAAAGCTGACCATATCCACAGCCACCTTGATAATAGTCATTATCTGGGTTCTGGCCATATCCATCATGTGTCCCTCTGGAGTGATGCTACAAGTGACCAAGGAGCAAACCATTCGGGTATTACTGGGCTATGACAACAAAACAAGCCCATTTTATTGGTGCAGAGAGAACTGGCCAAACCAGGAGATGAGAAAGATTTACACCACTGTCCTGTTTGCAAATATCTACCTTGCTCCTCTTTCCCTCATTGTGATCATGTACGCCCGGATTGGCATCACACTTTTCAAAACAGCTGTCCCAACGGGAGGAAAGCCGGGCCATGACAACCGCCACACTGTGTCAAAGAAAAAGCAAAGGGTGATTAAAATGCTTCTAATAGTTGCTTTGCTTTTCATTCTTTCCTGGCTGCCTCTGTGGACCCTCATGATGTTGAGCGATTATGCCAGCCTGACTGAGCAGCAGTACAGAATCATCAACATTTACATTTACCCCTTTGCCCACTGGCTAGCCTTCTTCAATAGCAGTGTCAACCCCATCATCTACGGTTTCTTCAATGAGAATTTCCGCAGAGGATTTCAAGCTGTGTTCAAGTTCAGCCTGTGCACCGCGGACGGACAGCGGAGGAAAACCTACTCACACAGGCTGCAGGGAAACTCTGTGCTCCCAGCAAATAATGCACAAACCTCCCTGGAGCCTATTTCTCTCAACAGCCTAGATAAGAACACTTCCAGGCGACTCAACCATGTCACTGAACAGGACTTGGTCATGGAGGACCTGGAGAAGGCATCTTGCAGCAGTGGGGGTGTGACAGCAGTGTCTATTTGAAAAAGACACAGAGACAGACAAATTCTTCTAGGTGATAAGCCAAGGTGTTTACATTTCAAGAAAATTGCCTGCTTCATTCAAACTCAAGTCCTTCACTGAGTGTAAGTAAACCGCAAGGGTCACCTGAGCAGGTTTTCGAAGCTGACATTTATGTATAAGTTGTCTGAGGCAATTTCAAGCCTGTAAAAAAAAACAACAACAAAAATGGCAAAGAAAACAAAGGACAAAACTGAAAAAAAAATAGATGTAGAGCAGGGATTTGTCCTTTTAACTGTCCTGCACCACTTAAAGACAATTAGTGCAGCAAGCTACCTCGCAGTGTTTGCTCCTGAAACAAATATGAAAATGGACAATTAAATGACCAATGTGAAAATAGAATACTTATTTTGGTTGCTAATCTTTACTTATCACCTTCAAGGCACACAATGTATGTTGCACATATTGTGCCATGTTAACAGAAGCAGGTTGTGCTTTTGGAACTGTAATTACGAATAGAAGGAAAACAAATCTTGTTGGCTAGTGCATAATAAATCAGTTAGGATAGGTTAATATTGCATTGATAACAGGCTACTGTCCTGCTCCATGACATACCTTATAAAACCTGTATGTACATATATATAAAGATGCATCAAACATGTATGTACTGTAATGTTTGCAGAGCACATTTCAAAAGTAGTAACTTACTGTCCTTGTAGTCCACATTAGATGGAGCAAACTTTTATTCTTCAGTATTATTCACTATTGAGAATCAAAAATTACTGTTTTTAAAGTACTCTCAAACCTTGACTAGGTTGTAAACTAATTTAGGTGGGCAGATTTTTAAAAGAAAAAACAAAGTGCTGTATACATTTTTAAACAGACCATAAAGGTCAAAGAGCTCAAACATCAAATCAAAGACTCCAGCAATGAAACTCATTATTTAGTGGGTCTTGCAAAGTAAATTATTTTACGGCATTTCAGGCTACTTCAAGGCTCAACATTAAGGCTTGTCCAACAAGTTGACTTGTTGTAGGGTAAGTGGAAGAGAAATTTACTTACCCCACTGGGGTAAGTAAATTTCACAAAGTAAAAAGAAAACAAAGTAAAAAGTTAAAAGTCACAAAGTAAAAAGAAAACAAATAAAACACGTCTTCACAATATGTGCCACTCATTGCTCAGTGCCACGCTGTTATTTCGGTAATCATTTTAGAGTAGCAACTGAACTAATGCATTTTTTCCCCCACAATACGTCCAAGTCAGATTGTACAAACAGGAGTCTATCCAAGTTTTTTCACAAAGTAGGAACCACTCGCAGTTCGAACATTTTACCTCAGACAAACAGTGGTAGCGATCCTTCAGTTCCTTCAGGCTGTACAGCTAGGCCAAGTGCCAGGGAAAACACCCAGAAGAATTAATGTAACAAGCTGGAGAAATGAATTTTACATTACAACGAAAAAAAGGAGTAATGTTCTGCAGCATCTGATACGTTATCTTACTAGTGTTAGCAGTGTGTTATTCACAACTTAGCTAAAATAAAAACTACAATAGCCATATTGCATTTCGAATACTGGGCCATTAAGAATATTCATTGGTATCACTCTGCATTGCCTGTTGATGTACAATCTAAATGAACATGAAAATGAAAATTAACATGAACATGATTTTGTTTTAGATAAAACGTTTCAAATAGCTACTTTAATGGCGACGTGTCCATCGCATAAGTTGTGCAGAAGAGAAAAGAAAGAGCAGTGATTATATTGTGGCTTCTACTTACAAATTCACTTTTTATCCAGGCTTTTCTTCTGAAATCTGCTCTTTAAACATGTACATAAAAAGGTGTAATGATGCTGAATTTATTATTCATGAATATCTCATGAGCCTGTTATGAATGTGCCATGTAAATCTCAGATAACAGTGTTTTGCTGTTTTTTTATATTGGTATCTCTCTATGAACAGTCTTGTGTAGTTAAAGTGTACAGTAAATGGGAAAAACAGAGGGCCTGCATTGGTCCCAAAACATGTATTGTCTGCTGTAAGTATATGTTACTGAGTCTAAAGGTTAGATTACAAGTGATAATGTGAATCTGTCTTTGTGAACCAACTATTAGGACAATTATTGCAGGGTATTGTACTAAAAAAACCTTTGGTTGGTATTCTACACTTAACATATTTACTGTTGGTGGTGTCTTACAATTTGAAAATTGGCCTACTTTGAAAATCTGTAAAGCAAAGATCCCCCCCCCCATTCATGAAATAAAGAGTGAAGGTTACGTGAAACTAACTACATATACACTACATGGCAGCCATATTGGAGGTCCTTATTTCTTCTATCTGTGTATTACAATGGCAGTGTATTACTGATCCTATCATGTTCATAAGAACTTTGACAGCCAGGGTCTTATAAATCTTTTTTGAGAGAAAATGTCTTGCACTGGAAGGTATACACATCCACTTGTGTTAGAACTATTTTTAAAACGATATATTTATAGGGATTGTTCTTGGTGTGGACAGAACCTAAGGCTGTGTTTAGAGATGCACCTACGAAGAAACAAAAAGCAACAGGATGTTGTTTTTAGTTGAAACCTGCCACAGTCAATAAGAAACAAATGGCCTCAAGGGTGCAAAGATTCAAGGTGGCAACAAGTGGTGGAAGTTAAGTTAGTTGAAACTTATCAGGAGAGTTAAAACTTAAAGATAAACCAACTGTGGTGGAGACTCGCAACTTTGAATAACATCTGTTTGCTAGGATCGTGTACAATTTAATCCTGAAGTTGTAATGAGGAGTGGGAAGTGCTTCAAATCAATTTTCTGTATCTCATGTTGTACACAAAATGCACACAAATGTGTCTGGCTACACAACGTTCCAGCTGCGCTCCAGCTCCATTGCGGTTTTCCAATGTCAACTGGAAGCGTTTCTGAAGTAGAACATTTGTCCTTCATCTGCCACACTATCACATTTTTTGTGTTACAAACTTAAATACAGTGGCTCATTTACATGTGATAACGGATCCTTTTTGGCTGTATTTGATTGTGCTTCTAAATTTCTCTGAGGTCACTCATTTTAAATGTGAATAAAGCTAATCTCATGGCACAGCTGCTGTCAACCTGTAATACTGCTTATTTTTCGTGAGAACGAAATGATTTTATCTGCAGCTCAGCAGCATGTTGATGACTGCTGATGAACAAAGTATTTATGAGCCACAATAACATTTCATACTAGGGATTTCCCGATTAGGGCTGTTCCTGACTAAAGATTTTGTATATCTTCACCCCGGCAATTGTCCTAGTCAGAGCCACTGTAAATCAGCTGGCCTTCAGTAAGGCTGTGAGCAACTGGGTGAAGACAAATGAAACGTACCATTAAAAATTTATTTTAAGTAAACTGCCATAAAATACAAGAATATATATACACCGATCAGCCATAACATTGGGGGCACTGATAGGTGAAGTGAATTACACTGATTATTTCATTATCATGGCAGCTGTCAGTGGGGGGGATATATCAGGCAGCAAGTGAACATTTTGTCCTCAAAAAATGGGAAAGCATAAGGGGCCGGGTCAGAGCATCTCCTTCAGCTCTTGTGGGGTGTTCCCGGTCTGCCTATCAAAAGTGCTCCAAGGAAGGAAAAGCGGTGAACCGTGACAGGGTCATGGGTGGCCAAGGCTCATTGATGCACATGGGAAGCAAAGGCTGGTCCGTGTGGTCCGATCCAACTGACGAGCTACTGTAGCGCATTGCGCTACATAGCGTTCATCTGCTTGTGTGGAACAATATTGAACATAAGATTTTAGTTGTTGAGTGGCTGAGTTCATTGCTACTGCTACAGTCATAGGGAAGGGGGAATAGTTATAGGGAAAAATATGGCTCAGCCAGGACTAAAAGATTTTGGCACTTGTTATAAGGTGCACCTTCAATCTTGAAAGGTTGTCGAATAACATTCTCCAGGTCATTGGATATCTACGAAGACCTTTTGTCACTTATCCAAATGGCTACAACCCTTCTATTGACTAATGGGGCTCGAGCATTTTAACCCTTGTGTGACAATTCTCATGTGACTGGTGTTTCATGAGAATTGCTGAGGTCTAATACTGTCATACAAGAATCATCAGAATCACACAAATTAGGTTATGAGTAGTTAGACCACAACTAGGTCAATGCTTATAAATATTTGTGAATTTAAAAATACCACAGGAATCACAAAAAAAACTGTCATTTCTACTGTAAAGGGGACCTCCAAGATGGCACCAGACATGGTTGATAAGAGTTGACACCCGTTAGTCTGCACTGTACTCACACCCTTGTTTTTTATGCTCTAACTCATTCAGCTGTGTTAATGCATCCAGCAGTGACACCTTGACCTCTCAGATAAAAAGGTTTCATTTCTCCCCTTTGCGTCCGTCTGTCTGATGTGTTAACACATTCTGTAGCAAGGCTGCTTCGTGACCCTGATTTGACCCCTTATTGAAGAGCCAGTTTTGAATTCTTCATTGAATACTGCCGCTCATTTGGGACGCTATTATCTATTATACATTCTGACAGATTTTTCTCTTCCTGTGATTTTCTGTCCGACTGACCATCTAGGAACCTTGGTCATATATCAAGGTTTATAATTAGATACAATTCCTATAGGCTACTGAACATACTTTGTGCATCTGTTAGTTTTGCTGTGTACACTCCAAAGGCAAATCTGAATCACCAAGAAATCTTAATTCTTGCAACAACACTGACTATTTTTTGGTTAGCTTTCTGAAATTCTGAACGGTTTCACCAAATCAGAACCTAGTTCCAAAGTGGGACCAACAATCAGAAATCCAGCCCCTTTACAAGCCTTAAAACTTAATTTTAAGAAATCCAACCAACCATGTCAACTTTCAATACATTATATAATATTTTATAATCAATTTACAGTCAGTACTCATATAGTATTGAGGTCCAATGTCCAGCTGTACTCGCCACTTCAGCTTCTAATTCAGCATCACCTATTATACAGTAAAACCAAAAATAGAGAGTCAATAAAATGTAAAAGAAAATGTTTATGTAAGCCGCCATTTGCATTTATTTATTCCTAATAACATCAGGGGTATCTACAATCATTTAAAACACTAACAAGACTTGTGATAGCATTCAAAGCAAAACAGATGTTAAAGTGACACTTCAGTATTGAATGTAATGAATTTGTACTTTTTGGTGCCTGTGGTGAAAAAAAAACGTGTCTTTCTGCTTCAATTTCCAAACAAGAGTGGATTAATTATTGTGAACTTCTTTTTTGGATCTAGAATCTCTTGGTATCTTTGTATAGTCTGCATGTGCATATCTTGTGTACTAGCATGTGTATTTTTATGTCTGCACCTACACGTTCTTAAATAATGTTGAACAATTTTAAAGAATTATTTGTTTGGACACAATTGCTGTTTGTACAAGACAGTAGTTTTTATTGAAAGTGAGGAAGTTAAACGGTGTCCTATTTAATTGTGAAGGGCTATTCATCACATTATCTATTACCTCTGTGATTGTCTACACAAAATAATAAGTTTTATAGTCAAGGTTGCGTGTATGAACAAATGGTTGTTAATGCCGCTGCTTTATGGCATTAACAGTACAATGACTTGTTTCTTTGCACATAATCTGCTATATATGAAGGGGATTGTGATTTTAATTACTGGAAGATTTCAAATAATGAAAACTGCTGTGCCTCTGGGAAAAAACGAAGTTAATGAAATAAGATTTCAAACAGATATTTCCCAAATTACCTGAAACACTATGGAATACAAAGCTGGCCAAGTGACAATATTTATGTATATGGACTATGATATTATTTTTGCCTGATGGAGCCAATGAACTGAATATAAACAAATGAATAATACAGAAAGTATTTTCTAATTACAGTTGTTATTAGGTTTGTTACATTTGTTTGAATTTCAGTTGGAATGAACAGATTCATGTGTTTAAAAGCTTAAGTTATGAGATCCCGAAACACTGAACAACTGTTTGTATTACCCACCCTATTACCCTAAATGATGGTGGTAACACCTTTCCAGTGCCCTGTAAGTTTGCACCCGAGCTGTGTCAGTGAATTGTCACCATTCAAATTAATGAGAGGGTGGCTTTTTTCACAGGTCTCAGGTTTTTCTGAATATGGCCTTACACTGGTTGCATCATAAAAACTTTAATTAGCTTAATAGCATAAAAGAAAGAGCATTTGAGTTAAATACTGGAGGATAACTGACTTCGCAATGAAATGTATAGTAGTAGGGCCATTATGTAAGTAATGCACTATGTATTATGTAAGGTATTCTGATTCATATAAAAACAAAGATAAGGTGAAGATGATGAACATCATGATGCAAAGGAGAGGCTTTTCCTCCATCAGGCTTGTTCATATATTAGATCAGTTGAAAGTGGGTTATTGCTCTTATAAGTGGCCAGTGACCAAAGAAAAAGGTAGGCTTTTTTTTAAATTGTCGGCTATTTTTTAAGTGTGTTTGTAGTTGGTTTACTGTTTAATTATCTAGTGTAAGTTAAGTTGTAAATTGTGTGTGGAACCTTTGGTTGAGTATGTGCAGTTTGCATTTAGACCAGTAGTTTAACTGTTAACCAGTATCATAAATACATGCAACACCCCAAATGGAAACAGCTTCCTCAAAAAGAGGTTTTTATTTAGAATATTTCAATACTCTGTCCATGTAAATGGACACCCGGGTTGTTCACAAGCAAAATAAACCCCTTAATAGTTACTGTAAAATACTGCAGTTTTTGCTAACAATGTGGATGGGCCAAACATTTTTTGTTATTTTGCTGTGATGTTAAGGATAATAAAGTAAGAATTGACAGAAGCAATATCTGCCAGTGAATTCATCCTGGCATGGTGAGTTCTTTCTTTGAAGATCTGTGAAACAGTAAACACTGCTCTATCATATAATTCATAATATTGTTGTATATTCTTAACAAATACAGGGTTAGGGTTTATTCTTTTTTATCCAAATGTGTCTTTTATCTCCAGGGGAACATTAAGGCTGTGTCTGAAATCATCCACTATCCATAGTATACTAATTTGTGTTTGCCATTTTATACTACAGTGGTATCCAGTTGTGCACTGAGAATTGCTATACCTTAAGTGCAATGAAACTATGCCACAGTATAACGTGACAATTTGAGACCAATGGATATTTACTATTAAAGCACTAAGTGCCAGAACAGAGATAACTTTCGACACGGAGCTATGACAAAAATAACATCAAATTCTGTCTTGGAAATTTACCAACCAGCACACCATACAGCCAGTATTGTGATTAGGGAGTAGTGAGTGATTCCTGACACAGTCTCTTTTCTTTGAGTTATTTTCCATTTTGTTCTCAGCCTACCAAGCTGAAAGCTTGATACTTGCCTTCCGTCTTTCTGCGTTCTATATACCCTCAGTGACCAAAAAAAGAGACCCTGTTGAGTATGATCTTGCACTTTGGTCCCTTACGAGAAGCAATGTGGCAGAGACAAGTCTCCTGTAGTATCCTGGTGTTAAAAATGCAGGATTCAGTATGTGACGCAAGGTCAAGGTATTACGATGGAAACTAATTTTTTTTAAATCATGGCTGGATGTCAAATGTCTTTATGTTTATGTTCTGCAGGCTCATCATGAAAGATTACCAAAGAGGAAAGAGAGAGGCAATCATTCCTTTGTTCATTCCCTTAGAGATACATAAGGCCTGTGAGTGAATAAACCTGGACTAGTCAGATGTTCGTCAGACCCTTTTGGAAGTACTCTCTTCACCTCTTCACATGTTAAATAACAGGAAAGGAATTATTGGTCTTCTGCAGGGGCAGAGGTTCTATTTCTCTGGTCACTGAGTGTGTATTTACTTTTTGATAATATGTAGAGTGTATTGAATTAATGGCGAAAAAAAAAAAACGCTTTTAAAAATTGTCTAGCTAATTTCTGTCTTGCCTTTGTATCATCAGATATTTCAATGTGCTTAAACTGTGAAAGGGCACATTTGTGTTCTTGTGAACAGCAAAATGTCCAGGTAGTCATTAAGATATTGTTCTTAACTCATTCACAATAAAGTACTAAAATCTCTGACTCTCTCTGATGACTAAGTGTAGAAAAGAATGATCCAAAGAAACAATTCATCTTTGATGACTCTTTTAGCTCCTACGAAAGCTCTGAATTTCAGTGGACACTGATCTTTACTGGCCACAGTGCTAAGAGGCAGAAAAGCAAGATGAGGATTTTCTTCTAAGGTTTCAGGTATTGCAGCTTGTTAAACCTGCAGTAAAAGCTGTTTCATCCCATGACCCTAGAGATCTGCTAAGCAGGCTATGTAATTTCATTTTATTTTAATTAAAAGGTTTGTCACATAATCTGATGGAAAATTCAGAGGCTTTTCCAATTAAAAAAAGAGAAGTTTCTAAAGCTAAAACTGAAGTATAATTTTAAAGAGTTATATGGTTGTTGTTTTTTTAAAAATTTTAGGCTTTGCAATTTACTAAATATAGCACTATAACTGCTCCGTATGAAAAGTGTCCTGAGAGAACGTCTGTTATCATTTGGCGCTATAAAATAAAATTTAATTTAATTCTTTGGAGGCCAGAGTAAGCAGCTGCTGCATGGAAGTCAGCGGATGCAAAATACAGCCAGTGCAAACAGAAAACGGAAGACCCTCTGTGAAAAAGAGAACTGAATGATCCTGTGAATCATGTTCTGATTCATTTGCTTCTTCACAGTATATCTTTTCTTATTAATTTCAATGTTACTTTTCTAATTCTTTTCTGCAGTGCACTTCAAATTGTCCAACGGCTGTTTTTTGTTAACACATGGATTCATGGTGCTGAAAATGGAAGGTTGTGTAATACCAGTTTAAAACGTTTCACTAAAAGATTAGGGTTGCTGCATTGCTAAGCAGCAGTTTCTATTCCATCATTTCAAATAAAATCCAAAAGTAGGTTTTATTCCTACGGAGCCCCTAAAGGGACATGGAAAAAAAAGAAAAAAAAGAAACGTTTCCAGTGCGCACTAGATAGTACTAGATAGTATCTAGTGCGCACAAGATAGTATCTAGTGCTCACTAGGTAGGGATCTAGTGCGCACAAGATAGTATCTAGTGCTCACAAGATAGTATCTAGTGCACACTAGAAACGTTTAATTTTTTTTTTTTCCCCCATGTCCCTTTAGGGGGCTCCGTATATTCCTCAAGCCATTTCCTTAGGTAACAAATTTTCATTTTGGCTCTGTCTAAAAGACATATTGAGAGGTAGTCTCACCAAATGTCAAGTTTCAGTACTAAATAAGTCACAATGACTTGTGATAATTTGTTCAAGAGTAGATAAAAATCAGGCAGAGGAATGTGTCGACTAACAGTTAAAGATAATTCTATACCACTATGTCAATGTCA